TCTCTCCTCCCCAATGTTGACCTACTCCTCTAGTCTCTCGGCGACTCATAGTTGCACTCTACTCCGTTAGTTTCTCGTCGGAGAGATGGCCGAGCGGTCCAAGGCGCTGGTTTAAGGCACCAGTCCCTTCGGGGGCGTGGGTTCGAATCCCACTCTCTTCAGTTCTTTTTTTTTCCTTTTTGATTATCAGATATCATATGTTGTTCCACTAGTGTGGTTGTGTTGACAGTCACTTTATCTGTGATAACATGTTTTTGACCAGGTCCCTTCTCTAATAATCCTATAATCTGCTGTAACCAAATCGCAGTTAGCATAGTAAACAAAGACTTTTTCAGCAAAATGCGACGACGCTTAGTCGCCATACCATTACTCATATTGGCTGTTACTTTTCAAACAGAAGCCGTCAAGATTATAGATAACGGTCTTGCGCCGCCCGAAATTGTTCATACGCCGGTGTCAACGAAACGTAAGTCTAATTTTTTGTTGTGGTGACTAATTTTTTTGAAAAATCAAGCTTTTTTTCAGCCAGATGCAAAGTTTTCGCACCACCTCTCGATTTGATTTTTATCTTGGATTCTTCTGGATCCTTGAGAGACAAGTTTCAGGATGAAATCGACATTATCAGAAGAATTCTGAAGCATGTGACGATTGGAAAAACTGCAACTAGGGTTATGTTGATTCAGTTCAGGTAAGCTAAGCGGTTGAGTATTTTAAGCTCGATTATTTCGCTTTCTGTCAAAGGTATCAAAAAATTGTCAGCTATTGAGTTGGTCACTTTTTGATATCTTTCTTAGGAATCGAGATAATTGAGCTCAAAGTTAACGGTTTGAATGGCCTTCTATTTGAGTGTTTGAGGCAGTTTGGAAATCAAAGCTTCACTAGGTTGATTTTTTAAACTAAAAGTCTTTAATTGCTGAAATTCGAATTTCCAGTGGAACGCAACACTTGGAATTCAATTTCGAAAAATTCACTGATCGAGAAGAGTTGCTTGCGGCGTTGGACGTTCTTCGTCATGTTTCCGGAATTACGAGAATCGGTGGGGCCTTTGAATTCGCGCTTCAGCAATTGAAGACTCCTGGAAGTGTGAGTAATTTTTTTCTATAAAGGAATTGTACACGTTTAATGGTACTCAACTTTGGAATTCGACAAAAGTACTTCAGAATTTTTTCGATTAGTCTGAAAATTTCAGAGTATACTAAACAAAATTTGGCCTTCAGTTTTAGACAAAGTGATAGTTTTTGAAACACTTTTGTAGGTCTTCAAAGTTGACTACCATTAAAAACCCGTAGGAGGATAACTTCTAACTTTGATCCTGTTTTTCTCGGTCTCTGTTAAAGATATAAAAAATAATCAACTGATAAATTGTTTATCATAATAATATTATTATGACCAATGCTTTATCAATTAACTAATTTTTGCCATCTTGCATAGGTACCGAGATAATTGAGCTCCAAATGCCCATTTAGGTTGAGTGTGCTTTTATTAGAGGAAATACGGTACCTTCAAAAGGACAGTAGAGAGTTCCCGTATACGGTGTTTCATGAAGTTTCGAATATCAAAACATTTTAAGGGTCTTCGTGATGGAACTGTACCAAAAATCGTCTATCTTCTGTCCGACGGTCGTACTCATGACTATCCAAAGGATTGGCAAATGTCTGATGTCTTGAGAAGGTAACCTTTTTAAAGTTCCCCTCATTTCCACACGGTGAGTTTTTCACTACCGGATGCGAAACAGTCTGCGACGTTTTAAAGTACAACGGACAAAAAAATCTGATTCATTTTTTTGCTATATATTCTTCATAAAATTTACTAAAAATTTATGGAACAGAAAAAAAGTTATGGACTAGAATTCGAGAAAAAAAATTCCAAAGTTGAAGCAGCGGCAGTGAAAAACTCACCGTGATTTCCAATTACTCAATTTCAAAAGAGCGCATTTCCAGAGAAATCCCAAATATTGACATCTGGGCTTACGGTACTGGCGACTATGTGGCAATGGCAGCCTTGGCTAATTATACTCAATCGGAGCAGAAAATTGTGACAAATCAGAATTTGCAAAAGCTGGAACCTCAATTTGAAAAGTATCATGGAACGGAGATTTGTGAGCAGCAGCCGAGTGAGTTTTCAAGAAAAAAGGAAATGTTTAAGTTTTTTGATTTCAGCTTGTGTGAAAGGATCAGACAAACCATTGGACCTTGCTCTTGTGGTTGACGCTTCGGAGTCCTTGGATCATCTTTTCAGCGATCAGGTAGATCAAAATTTACAGTCTCACCTAAAAAAGAATTTCTCAGAAAAAATTCCTGGTCGATCGAGTTTTGGGAAACATTAACATCCATCCAGAAGCCGTCCGTGTTGCATTGATAACCTACTCTGGACAAGCATTCGTTCATTTTAAATTCAATTCGTTCTTGTATGGAAATAACACTTCAGTACAGGGATTCGTAAAGAATATTCGATCAATCAAAGGAACAACAGCTACAAATGTGGCATTGATGGATGCATTTGATCTTCTGACTTCAAAAGATCCATCGACTGGAATTAGAGAAGGTGTGCCGAAAATGGCATTGGTTCTTACTGATGGACATTCTCATAGGTTAGTTGAAACTGTCAAAAAATGTGTATGGACATTAAACCTACAGGGTGGCCGATAAGGATAGGACGTTTCTAAACGTCTCCCATTTTTCAGAAAAAACGTGGAAAAGTAAGGGGCAAAAATACCTTAAAACCTGTAATATAAAGTCTAACTTTCAACTTTGAGCCAATATATCTCGCTTCCTATGAATGATATCAAAAATGTGTCAAATGATAAAATATTGCTGACATTAAGATAAATAATTATCAGTTGACAAATTTTTCATGTCTTTTATAACAAATGTTTCATGTCTTTTATAACAAATGTTTCATGTCTTTTATAACAAATTTTTCATGTCTTTTATAAGGAACCTAAAGCTCAAAGTTGACCTCTTTGGATGAGTTTCTGTACTTCTGTATTAGGGGAAATGTGGTAGTCAACTTTGACGCAACACGAAAGTATTTCGTTTTTTCTTCGATTTATTTGAAAATTTCAGAGTATACTAAACGAAAATAAAGCTTTAGTTTTCTAATTGAGACATGCGCTTTTAACAACTGGTTGTCTGCGTCTCGCCTCTCTTGGTAACCAGCATCCCGTTTTTAAAGACCCATAACTCAAAAACTACTATAGCTAGAAAAAAGCTGTCAATTACAAAATTAAAGCTCTAGTTTTGTTTAGTATATTCCATAATTTTCAGACAAATCGAAAATTTTTGGAATACTTTTGTAGGGCTTCAAATTTGACAATCGTATTTCCTCTGAAAGAAGCTCATCCAAACCGCAAACTTTGAGCTCGAAGATCTCGGTTCCTGTAAAAGATATCAAACATTTGACAACTGATAAAATATTGCTGATATTATGATGAATAATTTATAATTTAAAACTTTTTGATATCTTACACAGGAATCGAGATTACTGAGCTTAAAGTTGACGGTTTGGGGGAAGGCTTCTATCAGAGGGAATACGGTCGTCACCTTTGAAGCCCTAAACTTTTAAAGACTACTAAACAAAATTCAAGTTTTATTTTTGTAATTGTTTCTTTTTTTCTAGATACGGTAGTTTTTGAGTTATGCGCCTATTAAGTTTCGTTATCAATCTATTAAAATTCGGTATTTTCCAATCCTGAAATTCTGGAATTTCAACAACACTAGTATTTTTTAATTTCCAGATCTCCTAAAGACATGGCTGAAAAAATGCGTGCAGCCGGAATCATAATGATTGCCGTAAGTGTCACTCCTCGTCCATTGGTGGATGAAGCTGAACTTCGATTGATTGCTGGATCCGAGAAACGTGCATTCACACCACCGAACCTTCATGTAAGTCTAGTCTCAAACTTCTCCCTTTCAATTCCTATACTCGTTTTAGGAATTTGAAAGTGAATTCATGAAATACGTTGGTTTTGGATGCGATGGAATCGAGTTGCCTCCAGATGCAAAACCTCAAGTTAGAGGAGCCACTGATGTGAAATGTACGGAACATTCGATGAGCATTGTGGTCCGGACTCAAAGAGCACTTCAAGGACTGATGTATGCTCATATGTATCATGATGAGCCAGAGTGTATGATGAAGAAGACCGATAATAACAGAGAGATTCAAATGACTTTTATGGAGGGAAAATGTGGTCTGGTGAAGACACCATCAGCGGTAAGTAAGCGTCAACTTTGAGCTCGATTCTCTCGATCTTTATAAGAGATATCAAAAACTTGTCAACTCATAAAATGTTCATCATAATATCACCAATATTTTAGTCGACAACTTTTCAATATCTTTGACAGGAAATGAGATATTTGAGCTTAACGTTGACGGTTTGGGTGGGCTTCATTCAGAGGAAATACGATTGTCAAATTTGAAGCCCTACAAAAGTATTCCAAAAATTTTCGATTTGTCTGAAAATTATGGAATATACTAAACAAAACTAGAGCATTAATTTTGTAATTGATAACTTTTTTCCAACTACAGTAGTTTTTGAGTCATGCGCCTTTAAAGTTAACGATATCAAGGGTAGAGGCTCCCAATTAGAGGAAAGACGGTAGACTAAAAGTGATTACAAAAATTTGAGAGACAGTAATCAAAACCAGATGCATTCATATGAAACTCTTGAACTTCTCCAGGATGGTCGTGGCTACCATTTCAACATCACCGTAATCCTCCAATTCCATCCTCTAATCATCACAAGAGCCGATCAAGGTCTCGATATGTCCTGCTTCGTTCCATCGGCAGTTCCACGTCAAGAACTCGATCAAGCTATCCTCAAAAATGCCGCAGACACACAATGCAACTACAGACTTCATAGGTACAGTAAGATTTCTCATGAATATCTGAAAGGGATCATTTTCAGATACAGTCCTGGACAATGCGTGGCGCTGGATGCCAAGGTTGGAGAGACACTGTACCATCGTTGGGAATGCGATAGCCGTTTGTTGACTAGAAATTTTGAAAACTTTGAAAAAATTAATTGTCTCCATTTTCAGCACCAGAATACAACTACTTGGTCCACGATTGTTTCGTGCAGTCCGAAAAGCATACACAACAGATTTTGGATTCTAATGGGTCAGTGTATTTAATTTTTGGAACTTCTAAATTTAATTTTTTGATTCAGATGCGAAGTCGATCAGCACTTCCTGGAAACCCCCAACTATTCTCGCTTCAAGGACTATCCAGATGACGCCTACGTATTCCAGGAGATGTCGGTTTTCAAATTCCCTGGAGATGGAGATCTCATCTTCCATTGCCGAATTTCGCTGTGCAATATGAAGGACCCGAATGCGCCGTGCAACCAGAGTATTGTAAGTACATTTAGCTTGTGGTAGTAAGAGCTGGGGCGGTGGCGCAGGTGGTAGCGCATTGCTATTTTGTTCAGGAGGTCAAGGATTCGAGTTGTGTCGGGGGCGAGAGCTTTTTTTTCTTTTCTTATTGATAGTTTTCCACCAAAAACCTAAGTAAAAAAGAGATTTTCAGCCTCCAAAATGTCCCAAGAAGGTGCCAGTCCTGCCGGTCCGTCAAAAACGAGATGTCTCTGCTGAGCAATGGATGTCAGCCGAATGGAGATCTAAACAAATCAGAAAGAGACAAATCGAGCTGAAAAATCGATCCAGAAGACAGATTGTGGAGACCAAACAGGGCTATTATATGACTCTTCAAGTCGAGACGAGAACTTTGAACGTGCTCCTGAGTGAGAGCATTCGCCCGAGAGACTCTGTCAAGTACTGTGATATCTCCTAAATTTCGGAATTATCGATTTTTTTTTTGTTTGGAAACGGGTCCCATTTTCCCCAGCGTTCTTTTATCAAACTTCTTTGTTACGTTGTGTATGTATATAAATTCATGATTTTTGAAAATTCAATAAAGTTGAGATCAAATTTTAAAAACAATGTAATGGACTATTAGGGGAATATTTTTCAGGAAGTCTGCGCTCCACCGCACTGGTAAACTGGCAGAATTTTTTAGCCTCCACAAAATCAGATAACAATGCTGAAAATATGGCATGTTTGCCGCGCCTCCGGAGACGCAACTTCATTTATTCATTTTCTATTATGTTGTTTTTTTCCCAGTGAGGGGGAAGAATGGTATATTTATGATGGCTACAGTATCAAGCTTATGGACTGTTTAAAATTAATTCTTTAAATCGAATTCTGTATATTTCGATAAAAGAAAATGTAGCGCATCATTTCGCTACTATTTCAAATTATCTGTGAACATTTGGGAAATTTTTTGTCCAGTGGGGACTTCGCTAGAGTCGGCGATACGGGGACAAACGGACACACTCTTACACACATACAGAACTTGGTGATTGATTGTAGAAATTGGTGATAGTAAAGATTCATATTTTCAGAAAATTCAATAAAGTTGAGATCAAAATTAAAATATCCATATTGATTTTTTGAGATCATCCTCTTGGGACCATTGCAGAAGCCAACGTAGCATTTGGAAGGCGTTCTCGTAATCGACGGAACTGAAATTTTTTCGATGTCGGTCGGTAGAAAATAGCCGACCGCTGATTGAATTTTTGCATTTGCGCGTCAGAGAGTGTTTTCAGAAATAAAATGCTTCGTACGCAAACACTGCCATGCAGACGCGCAAATGCACGAATTCGGGCAGCGGTCGATCGGCGGTTTTCGACCGACCAAAATTAATTCTCTAACCATACCTGCCCGTTAACCTTCTCGGACATTTTCTTATCACAAAAAATGTTCATAATTGGGTCCAACAAAAATACAAAAATCCAAACTAGCGACTCCACGAATCCAGCGATAACTTCTCCGACGAACTTGTTCGCTTTATAGAATCCATCGCAACTTTTGACGTCATGAGGAGCCACATCCAATAGGTATACATAGGGAATAATTTGAGCAGCCGAAATGAAAATTACTGCGATAATTGCCCATCCCAGTCGACGACGGACTCGTTTCATAGATGAGGCTGACGATGAGAGGGTGTCCGACTGGAAAATTTTAGTTTTCTGTGTATCTATTTGTCCAGATGTCGTCTCTCATACCCTTTTCAGTTTCCTATTATGCCTGACCAACGAGATGAATACAAAAAATAACACAGCAATTGTAAAAACCAAACAAACACCGGTAACGATAACTGAAATTCGAAGAAACTGAAATTTTAACTCATCCCTAAAAAATTACATTCGACAAGATTCACAAACGGAACGCAGCTTTTTTGGTTGCATGAGATGATTCCAGGGCTTTGAATAGCGGCTTGAAAGATGCCAGTTGGGATCTGAAAGTCTGTAATTTGAGACGATTCAGAAATAGCAAAAATTTACAGATATTAAAAAAGAAGCAAAATAAATCAAGAACACCATTATGTATACAAAACGGAGAGTGATTAGAGATTTGAATAGCATTGGATACATGACTCCGATATAGAGAAGAAAAGCGAGGCCAGCATAGGAACCTGGAAAAATGAATTTCAGAAAAAAGAAGTCAAAACCTAGACTTTCAGAGTGTACAAATCCAAAATAAGAGTTTTAGGTTGGACGGTGACCAATTTTTAAAAATTCTCCTACAACTTTCGAAATTCCGAACTTCATAATTTTTCTGGATTTCTCAATTTCTCGACTTCTGAGATTATGGTTCACTGAGTTTCTCGATTTCTGAAATGTTGAACCTCCGAATTTCTCAGTTTTTGAGTTTTGGAATTCTGAATTTTTTGAGTTTCCTGATTTTACGATTTCCAATTTTCTAAATTCTCCGAATTTTCAAATGTCCAAATTTAGTTTTTCTTGACAATTGGGAGTTTCGATAATTGGAAAACCTTCGAAATTCTGAGTTTTCGAATTTTAGAATTCCCGTATTTTAGAACTACATATGTCAACGTTAAGCTCATATAACTCGTTACCTGTAAAAGATAAAAAGTTGCCAACTAATAAATTATTTATCATAGTATCACCTATATTTTTTTTCAGTTGACTATTTTTTGATATCTCTTACTGTCGTGGACGACCAAAGATCTTGTGTCAACCAAGAGAAGGAGCGGCACCAGGAGCCAGTACAACCCATCAATCAAGAAGCTGATACCGAGAAGAAAATTGGAGAAAGATAAGGTCAAGCGCGGGAGTGAACCAGGATCTAAATTTTCATTCGTATTTCTTTGAACACATTTGAACTTCCAATCGAAAACCTAAATTCAATAAACCTACAAGAGCAATTCAAACTAGTATTAACAGTACTTTTATTCACCAGTTACCACCGAGCCCATTTATGGTGCATAGCGACCGAAGGAGTATTAAAGGTTAGTTTATTTTTAATTGAAAAATAAAAATCCAAAAAAATTGATATCGAAGAATTTAAGTACTAGTAGATAGAAAAAAAGGATAGTAGTGAGGAATTAAGAGAGGTTAACGTATGAAAACAGGGTGCAAGGCAGGAAAATAGGGGGTAAGGCAACAGCAGATAGAGGGAAAAAAGCCACAGTTAGAATACGGCAGTTAGAAAGCAAAAATTAAGGTATTAGGTACAATCTGGTCCCAAGTCAATTACCGAAGTCTCCAGTCAATCGCAAAACTCTCCAGTCAATTACCAAGGTCGCCAGTCAACTACCGCAGATCCAAAACACCACGCCACAGTGCCCATCAAAGCTCAGTCCATCCACACCACCATCACTAGTCAAGTAAGGAGAAGTTACCATTGGCCGGCCTCGGAGTGTCGTGACCGACCATGGTCCGGAGGATCAAAAAGCCAGAAGTATAAAGTGATGAATCAAGACTCTACCACCACCTAACAATCAAGAAGAGCAGAGACGGGAGCCAGGAGCCAATTCCAAAAAACGGAGCCAGGAGAAGGTCATGCGGAGGAGGATAGGATAGATTGGAGCAGTTTAACAAGAAGAAGACAAGGATGATAAGAGACAGAGACGGAGAAGGCAAGGAGGAGCAGTATAAAAAAAAAGACTGATAGGAGATAATTTTTATCCCTTTTGATTGGATTGAATTGATATAATCTTCGTGCAACGATATTTTCAAGTTCAAGAATAAATCCGTTCAAGAGTATAATCACTGTATCTAGTATTTTTGAATTCACCGAGTAGAGATTTACTTACAATAACCGACATAAATCAGCTCAAAGTTAGAGAGATCTTCTTTCACATGCTTCAGTTAGATATTTTGGATTTTGAAGACATTTTTGGATTGAAAAAACTTCTAACTTCTAAAAATTTTTGGATTTTAAAAAAGTTGGTTTTTTAAAAATTTGGATTTCAAACAATTGGATTTTAAAGAATTTGAAAACCCGAAAATTTCTTTTAAATTTGAAATAACCAACTCGACCTCTATTTTTGTTTCAGGTCCATTTTCAGACAAATTACATTTTTGTTTTCTGGAATTTTCTTTGAAAAAAAAAACTAGATGATGCAAATACTGATCCGCCATATGATTTATTTCGAAATTTAGCACACATTCTCAAATTTCACACCGAAATGAGGAGTTTGTGCATTCCCACACTTTTGGTATCATTGTGTGTTCGAAATGAGCACAAAACATATTCAACGACCAGAATATGATTTATGTGATATACAATTTGGAAGTCATTCTGGTCAGAAGGAAAACAATGTTCACAAACTCCAATTTTTAATTCCAGGCGCTCCCAGAATTTCGGAATTTTTACACTAAAAAAACAAAAAAAGAAGAATAAACTAACCCAATAATCCAAACATACTTGTATTGCTGACAATATTCAGAACAGCATACAAAAAGAAATTTGCTGGATTCGGCTTCAGAAGTTCTTCAAAAACCGCGGTACTCAGAATCATTGCAATAACCATGAATATACAGGAAAGACAACGAGTTACCAGGAAAATATATCGCTTTTTGGATTCCGCTTCCATTTCAAAATATAATGGAAGAGTTACACAGAGACAGTAGAAATTGGCAAGTGCCGCTATTGAGAACATTGATATGGAGACGTAGTAAGCATAGAAGATTACAGAGATGGCCGTGTTGAGATCCTGAAAAACTCAAATTTGAGGACTTAAGAATTCAAAAGTTCCAAATTTTCAGAATTAAGGGATTTTTGAAATGAAAAAAGAAAGTTTTTGAGAAGAAGGGAATTTTTTGAACATTTTTCGGAAGTTTATTTAAAGATTTTTTGAATTGTTCGAAAAAAAAAGAAAATTTGGAATATCATCAAAAACCCTTACCTGAATCAAGAGACATGGCGCCGAGGTTTCTGTACAATTTTCGAAAAGAATCTCATTTGAATAATGGCTAGAACAGTTTTCGAATATACTTTGATTCATATTATTCTGTGTCTCCAGAACAAAAAAAACGAAACAATTTCCTTTTTTCTGAATGATTTTGTGTCTTTTTATGATAAGACCAAAAATTATTTGCTTTAGGGATTACAATTGAAAAGGTGGGAAAATTACGAGGGTTTCAAAAAGTTCCTGAACTTAGTTCAGGAAGTTTTGTGAGATGACCTAGAAATATCTTCGGCCATTTTCAGAACCTTCGATTTCTACTCAAAGATAAGAAGAGCAAACAAATATATTTTCATTCAATTATCGAGGTTATCAATTCTAATTGTGTAGTTTGCTCCTGTTCTTCTTCTTCTTTTTCTTTCTCTTGTTTTTCGTCTTTTTTCCTTTTCGAAAAACTTCCAATGAAAAATTGAGCGAGTTGAGTAGATTTGGCATAGATCCATTTTACCTGGAATAAAAAAAAGTACTGTAAAACCTGTATAGATCACTTAAAAGTTTGACCTCAAATATCTCGGTTCCTATGCTAGATATAGGAAAGGGGGAATTTCAAAATATTTTTAATCGTGAATTTTTTTTCGAAAATCCGAACAATTCTGTGACAATTAGACAGATCTCACTACTAAAAATATAAAAAGTGTCGACTATGTTGAATTTCGATAAAAAATAGCAGAGATGTTGGAATCTCAATGATTCTACATTCATCATGATTTTTACTTATTTCTCATTCATTTAAACATGTTTACGTGAAAATTTTCACGTAATTTTCACGTATTGCAATAGTGATTAATTTATAAATGTTTGGCTATTGTAACCATATTTTTTAGTGAATTTGGTAAAAAAAAAACAGATAAAAATACTTTCATTGTCTCTAACATATTTTCTGGAAAAGCACACAAAAGCAAACTTTTTACGAAAAAATCGACGATTAAAAAAATTTTAAAATTCCCCCTTTCCTATAACAAAAAAGTTTCCATTAATAAAATGTTTTTAACATGATGATAAACAATTCATCCGTTGAGAATTTTTCCATATCTTGAACAGGTATCAAGATAAATTGGCTCAACATTAAAAGTTACGCTACCTTCCTATCAAAAGTTCAATTCAGTATATCCGGAACAAAACATCTAGAATACAGAAATTATGATTTGCCTAAAAGTTGAAAATTCCAAAATTCAAAAGTTTCGAATTTCAGAAAATATGGATTCTTTAAAGTTGCCGAAAATCTGAAATACAGAAACAAGATTTCCAGTTTGTTCAATTCGGAAAGTCCAAAAAGCTGAATTGCTGAAATTCTGAAGCTCTCAAATTTGGAATCCCTAGATTTTTTATATTCCAAATCTGGCATACTGAAGTTCAGAATTTTTACGATTTTTACGAAATTTGACTGTATTGTACAAAAATAGAGTACCAACCTGCTTTTTTGCTTGTTTCGACACATTCCTATCCAGAATGATATTAGTAAACGGATCAACAATCATTGCTATACTCCATAAAGATGCCTCTACCAAGGCCCACGAAACCTGACTGATAATAACGTCAGAATGATCAAACCAGTAACATGGTGGCTTTGTTCCACCTGGAACAACATTGATTTTTATACTAAAAAACCTGTATTAGAAGGACCCCTCTAAATAAAGGGCCCTCTGACATCAGAGGGGCTTGGAAAAATAGAAGACTCCCCCTACCAAATGTATCGTTTGAATTTTAACATTTTTGTGCGTTTTCCGTTCAAAATATTCCAGAAATTCTTCGAATGAAAATTTGTGTTAAAGGAGGCCAGACACCAAAAAAAAGTTTTCCTGATATTTTGCATAGAGAACCCCCATGAGGTGTTGAACTCAACTCATGACAGGCAGCTCAGGGGTACAGCGTCGATACCGGCTGAGCTACAGGTGCGCGAAGGCGCCTGCCGACCGATGACCTACATAAGCGCGGCCCGATTTCGTCCCCCGAACTTTCCCCCGAAATTTTTGCTGTCTCGCCTCATTTAATGAAAAATTTGAAAAAAAAATGAACGGAAATGATTTTTACGGTATCTTCCAGGTCCCACTTACGAATCTTCTTTTCCTCCATAAAAACGAATGGAATAACTTCAGCGAATAGTACAAGAAGAACTGTGAACAGTGTCCAACTCAAAAGACGAATCGCTGAGGTTAGCGATGTGTTGGATGTCGTATCGAGTTTGTTAAATTGTTTCTGATGACGGATGAGAGAAATCAAAACGAAGGAGAGGGTGATGAAGGCAAACACAATAGAACCAAAGACGAGAATGACTGGAATAAAACTATGGTTTCTTGTTTTTTAAATTGTCCCTAGAGCTTACAATTCAATGTAGCAATAAGCGGAGCACAAGTCTCTTTGGAACATTTTATTCCACTCACTGGAATAGATATTGCTGCTTGGAAAATGGCAAGAGGGATCTGGAAATGTTGGAAATCTATAAGCAAGGCTTTAACTGTCTGAATTACCATAAACCCTGTATTAGAAGGTTACTAATTGACGGGCTCCTCTAATAGAAGGGCTTTCTAGAGACCCCATGAAAAGTAAAAGGATCCTAATACTTTACCTGCTAATTGCGATATTTAAAATAGAATAAGACTCTTAATCGTAAAATTTTATTCATTTTAAAGAAAAAACACTTACAGATAACGCGATTGAAACTGAAACAATCAAAGAGACAGCGATATAGACAACTCTTAAGCTGAGATGTTGTGTGAAAGATATTGGGTTCAGAACTCCAAGGTACAGTATACCAGCCATGCCGACGTAGGATCCTGTAGAAAATGGGTACTGTAGGAAAGAAGACTAAATCACTTCAAAAATTTGGTTTGAATAGTTTATTGGATCTACAGTAGTCCTCTGAAAAAAACACCGAAAAGTTGATATTTCTCGAAAAAACGTTTTTTAAAATTGCATTTTTCGGATTACGGTAGATTTAAGGACTACTGTAGTTTTTCCCTTCCTACAAACAGAACAATTTTCAGCTTAAAAAATTGCTTAACATTTGAAGCTAAAGTGACTTTTCAAAAAAAGTAATGATTTATCAGTTTGTGAAGAGTTTATCAATTTGTGATTTATGGACACAGAATAACCCACCTAACAATCCATAAGTGCTTCCAATATTCAAAGCCAAAGCCAGCACATAATATGGAAAATTTCCGGGAGTTGGAGCAATGAATCGAAGATAAATACACTGAATGAGAAGCCAGGCACTAGCAGCCAATAATCCAGCAACACATCTAGTGATAAGAAATATGTACTTCTTTTTTGAATTATCTTTCATCCGTCGATACAATGGAAGAAGTACCAAAAGACAATAAATATTCATAATTCCAGCTATGGCGAATAACACTTCTGATGTGTAATAATCAGCAAATGCAATATGAACAGCTGTTTCGATTTGCTGAAACAAACTTTTAATATTTTTATAAAAAAATAAATTCAAAAATTACCTTGATAGATTTACAAGGATCAGTGGCATTTGGGCAAAGTTCGAATATAACTTCCCAGTCGGAACGATCAGGACAATTGGCGAAAATCGAAGTTTGCTGAGTCATTTAAAAGTGTCAATGATTGAAATGATAAGGTTTTTAACACACTTTTGTTTGCCTAAGGAATTACCTTAAAATTGTCATTCATGATTTCATATTATTTTTTGATAATTGGTCAATTTGATATAAGGTTCACTGGAACTAAAGTGGAGGTATTTGTGGCGGAGGTAAGATTGAAATTATCGGAAAACTGACAATAATCTAGGTAAAATCAAAAATCAAAATACTTCTGACAAGGGGCTTCTTTTCGATGCAAATGTGTTCATGTAAGCGGAATCTGAAATTTTTGTGATTTTCGGATCCAGCAGATTCAGGTTTTCAATTTTCAACGGAACTCAAAAAACTTTTCAGTGTTTCTCTACAGTAATCCTTTCCATTTTCAATCATGTTCCCCTACAGTAACCATATTAATTTTTGATTCTTTTTCTCTACAGTAATCCTTTTCAATTTCATATTTTTTGGCCCTAAATTCTGACGATATGTCTCGTATAGTTTTCTCCAGTTTTCCCCCAAGTTTCAGCCAGATTAGGTCGTGCTTGCTGGTTATCTGAATAACCCCCTTAATCTTGTCACATTAAAACGAGTCTCATTTTTCTCGTGAACTCCTTTTTCCAAAAGCAGAATCGGTGTGACCCCCGTGAAACCCTAACGAAATGGGAGCAATGTCCAGGATTTAGAAAATTGAGGGAAAAATCAGTATTAGTTTCCAACGGTCAAGTTGCAGGATCTTGCAGGATTCTCTTTGCTTCCAGGATCCCCTCCCCACCCCACAACTCCTAGGACTTCGATCTTTTTAGAAGCAATGAACACTTTGGGATTCAGAACTCTTCTGAATTCCCAGAAATTCTCGTGACTATTGACATTTTTCCAATTAAGCATGAGAATAAATTTTAAGGAAAATTTGAAACCAGAAGAAGGCGCCAAATCTTCCAAATTTTGACCCCCTTAAATCTGCCTTCAAAAATTACTCCAAACCAGAACCAAAACATTTTTCGACCATGAATATGCTTACAAGTTCATTCCCAAGCCCATCACTCCAGTAGTGTTGCCAAACATACACCAAAATGAATGATTTTGGCAACTTATCGATTCTATGACACTCTCTACACAACGCCCACGTTGTCACGGTTGTGAGTATCATAGATCGCCTTTACTCCCTTTCTTCACTCTTCTTCATCTTACACCAAATATAAAGTCCATTCTGTTTATTTAAATTATTCAAATTATCGAAAAACCCCAATTCAAATCCCCCTCCAAAAGTACACACCTGGAGCGTGTTTCGACGCACCGACGCTCCACTCCGTACACTCCGCTTTTCGGGGAGGCTTTTTGGGATTCCTTTTCAGTTGCTTTTTGTTTGTCTTTTCTGATTACTTTTTTACTTCTTCTTTATACCGTTTTACTGTCGTGAGTTTGTCTCCTGTCAATGCTCCCACGCATTGACAGTCACCGGCTTTCCCCAGAGTCCTTCTCCTGGCTTTGCTTCCCTGCACTGCCAGTATTTCGGTTCCATTTAAGTAGGCCCCTGTGCCTCTTGTGTCCTCCAAGACAATCCAAGAAGTAAACCCCAAACGTAATTAGAATTGCCGGCTTCTAACCGATTCCCTGAATCTTAGAAGCTCCGCGCATTTCAGGTGTAATTTCTCCGAACCCTCTGTCTTTCCAAGAAGCCACGTTCTGCCAATGCCGGAGACTTCGTTCCTTTCTCCTATAAATTACTGCCTTTTTATTCTGCCCTCCTCAATAAATGGGTCATTGAATTAACTGTGTACTGTTATCTGCTGGCACCGCTTATCCTCTAGAAACACAATACAAGAAAACGTCACATGAATACACTATTCACGCGAAAGAGTTGGAGCCGCCAACCTCCCAAACCTGCTCTTTCCGCAAGTAGAGTCTCAAAAATGAAATTTCTAGAACTTTTTTTAAATTTTTTGTTTTTTTTTTCCAAATTATATATTTTTTGTTCTTATTCCAGTGGTCTTTTTTGTCTTTCCGTTTGTTTTTGAATTTCTCAAATGAACTATTTTATTTCATGCAAAATCTCTTTATTTTCTCAAAAACTGAAAATTATCATCCAGAAGTTTTTGTGGTTGTAGAGGGTACTGTAGTCTTGGAAGTTGTAGTCCGAGGATTAGCACAGTCCCTTAATTTTACAAGTTTCTATATGTTTTCTTCTAAAAACTCACATAGAAATGGTGTCAACTGTGATTTGCATGAACACAATCAAACTTCCAATCTCATTCGACCCACGGAAACCAAAGTTTATCAACTGGGTCCCATTTCCATATATTATATGGGAGTTTGACGTTCTTCTGAAATCAAAAAGCTTCATTTTTAGATGATTATTTTTCCGATAGCTTACACAATAGACATCACGAATGGCTCTCCTCTGGCAAATGGTCGATTAGAGTATACTTCATTCTTAGACCAGCCAATCTGAAAAATTAGATTTTCAGAAGTCAGTTATCTCAGTTTTGGCAAGAGATATGAAAAATATGTCAACAAATGTTGCTGATATTATGATAAACGTTTTATCAATTGACATAATTTTGATATCGTTCACATGGACCAAGATAAATTGGCTAAGCATTTGTCTATTTGAGGGTTGGGGGCATTATATTAACAGTACGTGCGGCTTGACCTCAATTATCTCAGTTTTGGTACGAGATATTAAAATCTGTCAACTAATAAAATGTTTACCATAGCATCAGTAATGTTTTATTAGTTGACAGACGTTTCATATCTTTCATAGGGATCGAGATAATTGAGAACAAAGTTGACGGCATACTTTTTTGGTAACTTATGAAATACACTGTACGATCTAAACAAAAGAATCGGCAACCACCAAATTATTTTTTTGCTCCGAAAAAAAACCTACACCAGGCACATAATTGTTGTAAATGCTCCATTGTTGATTCCATCGCTGATTAATATGAACTGGAACTTGCGTTCTCTCGAAAACCGGATTGAAGCCGACATACAAATTGACGTTGGATCTAAACACAAAAATTTTAGATTCAAGTCTTAATGGGGACCAACTCTGTAGCGTTCGACCACATGTATCCAGTTAGAGTGAGATTGTCTCCCGTCTCCATTAGACGGGAAAAGTTGAGTGGACGATAACGAATATCTCCATATTTTTTCAGATCCTGAATGTTAGATGAGTTTGGGAGTAAGTTAGCTATGAAACTTACCAAAGTGTTGCAGTCTAGGATTGGCAAAGGAGCTGATGATAGATCGAGTGGTGTTGTAGTTGATTCTGGAGTTGTTGGTGTAGATGTAGAAGGTGTTGATGAGGTCGGTGGATTGGCACAAGTCCTGTTTTACGACTTTAAATCTTTTTTTTTGAATTTCTAGTCGTTGAATCTTTGAAATTTAAAAACTATAATCGTTGAAACCTCCAAAAATATTTTTAACAACTCACATTGTAACTGAATCAATAGTCCAATCCTCATACGCAATCATACTTCCAATCCGATTTTCCGCTTGCGATCCTCGATTCCAGAAATTGATCAACTCCATCCCATTTCCATATACAATATGGGAATTGGCTGTCTTTCTGAAACAAGTTTCAGATTTCTCCTTTTTCATCTCCTCCCACTTACACAACAGACAACACAAATGGCATTCCTTTACTGAATGGTCGAACTGAAACATCTTCCCGTTGTCCCCATTTACCCTGAAAATATTGATACGAAAAATTCGAGATAAGAAAATGATTACATTCCAATTATTGTAAATGATATAAGAAAGCCACCATCTTTGATTGATATGAACTGGGACCACGGATCTTTGGTACACTGGATTGAAACCAAGATAGAAGTTGACGGTTGACCTGGAAATGAAAAATAAAGAATTTGGGGTGGAATTAGGTTTTCTCACTGAGTAGCGTTTTTCCAGATGTGTCCAGTTAGGGTGATATTGTCTCCAACCTCCATAACACGAGAAAAGTTGATTGTGCGCCAACGGAGATCACCGTAGTTTCTCTGGAAGTTTACGGATATAATTCACAACTCGGGCGTTCTCTAGCAGCTTCTAGTCGGAGGCTGGTCAGACTCCGGATCAGACCGACCAGTCTATTAAAATGTATAAAGACTTACAATAGTGTTGCAGTCCAGAATTGGCAAAGGAGCTGTCAAGTCGTATGGAGTAGTAGTTGGTCCTGGAGTAGTTGTCGTTGTTGAAGTTGTTGATGGAGTTGTAGGTGTAGTGTTTGGTAGACGGGCGCAGTCCCTGAAAATTTCTTGGAATTTTTTTCATTTTGGAGCCCTTGTTTTGCCAAACTCGAATATTTACGAATATTCGAAAACTAACGAAAACGCACCAAGTTACGAACATTTTCCTGAAAAGGCGAGGATCAGAGAAAACAAGACACACTGCGTTTCTATCCTAAAATTTGAGAAACATAGGCATACTCATTGTAGAGCTCAAAATTCCATAAGCTCAAATATTGAAATTTCAATCGATTTGGAACATTTTCAGCAAAGTTATAGTCATTTTTCTAAAATTTCAGCATGGCGTGTCTTCATTTTTAAGGTGACCCACAAGTTTAACTCCTCGAGGGGCAACGAAAATTTGAAAACATTATTTTTCTCATCTAATTCTCTTCAAAAGCTGAATGTTTCGAGAATGAAAAATTGGCTCTTTATGACAAGGGGGGCCCATGAGAAAAGGGGGGCCCAACAAAATTATGCCTGAGTTGATATTTACCGATTTTTTCAAGTTTTGTGACCGTTTCCATTAAAATTTCGAACTTTAAACAATTTTCATAATTTTTTGAAAATTTCAGTTTATGTCATTTTTTGCATATTTTTTGTCTATTTTTTTTTGTTACTAAGCCTGAAAAAATCTGGAACTAGCTGAATAACTTCTAATTACACAGTTACAATGTGAAAAATATTGTTGTTTATGCAAAAAACCGGCCTAAACTGAAATTTTTCGAAGTTACAAATTTTTGTGGAAACATGCGCAAAGTACGAAATTTTTATAGAAACATTCGAAAAACTTGAAAAATTTGGTAAATCTTAACTTAGTCCACATTTTTCCACTTGGGCCCCCCCCCCTTTTCTCATCGCCCTCCCCCCCCCCCCCCCTTGTCATAAAGAGCCGAAAAATTTATATCTTGAGGTTCTGATTGTGGTAATATGATCGAAAAATGAGTCATAGCGCCTCTCAGAAAAAGCTACAGTACGACAATTGTTGCCGTAATTTCTGCAAACATCGCCACGTCTAAATGCAGACTTTGTACTCACATCTGAACGGTATCAATAGTCCATTGTTGGTATCCTAACATTCCTGAAACAAGATGAACATTCGCATCTCCAGCCAGCATATACTTCTTGATATGTTGCCCATTTCCATAAACATCATAGTAATTTGTTCCTCTTCTGAAAATGAAAAAACTTTGAAATTTGGAATATTTTTATAATTGAAATAGCTGTAAAAAAATATTTTATTCTGAAAAACGACCAGAAATAAGGCAAAAACTGCCTCAAAATTTTAGGCACTTTTTTACTGATCTTTGCTTATTTCTAACCTATTTTTCGCTATTTAAACCGATTCTTGTCTACTTTGAGTTTTTTCGACAATTCCCAACATTTCCTTGGAATTTTTAGATATTTAAACTAATTTTCAGCAAGTTTTTGACTTACACAATCGACAAGACGTATGGCATTCCTTTGACAAACGGACGAGATGAGAAGGTTTCCATTCTGTAGTCCCATTTTCCCTAAAAACTGCAAGTTCTACAGTATTCCAAATCTTCCGACTCACGAAAAAGTAATTATAAATTATATCAGTTCTCCACCATCTCATATTAATATGCATCAAAATCGGAGACTGTAGATATCTTGGATTATCCCACAAGTACAAATTCATGGTGCATCTGAAAAAATGAAACTGCGCTCTATTCAGATACTGAATGCCTACTCTTGAGGATTGTCCCAAATGCTTCCCGTCATTGTGAAGTTGTCTCCAATCTCCATATATCTTTCGAATAGAACCATTCTGTTGTTGAGGTCACCGTAATTTTCCTGGAAATTTAAATTTTTGGGATTTAGGGATTTCTGGTAAAATTACAATAGTATCACAGCTAAGTTTCGGTAGTGGTGCGTTCAAATCATAAGCGATTGGAGGTGTGGTTGTGGTTTTCGTAGCCTTTGTAGTTTCTGTAGCCTTCGTAGTCTGAACAGTAGTTATTGGCTTCTTCGTAGTTGGTTTCGTTGATATGGCTTCTGGAGTCTTTGTAGTCTTTGCAGTGGTTGTTGGCTCCTCCACTATAGTTTTTGTAGTCTTTGTGGATTCTGTAGCTTTTGTAGCTTCTGTAGCTTTTGTAGTTTCTGTAGCCTTCGTAGTCTGAACAGTAGTTATTGGCTTCTTCGTAGTTGGTTTCGTTGATATGGCTTCTGGAGTCTTTGTAGTCTTTGCAGTGGTTGTTGGCTCCTCCTCTATAGTTTTTGTAGTCTTTGTAGATTCTGTAGCTTTTGTAGCTTCTGTAGCTTTTGTAGCTTCTGTAGCCTTTGTAGTCTTCCCAGTGCTCGGCTCCTCCGTGGATACTGTAGTTAGCTTCAAACTATCCGGAACTTGGGCACAGATACTTCTTGGCGATGGATCCTTGCATCTTACAGTATACCCAAATATCACTCCTGTTAGGTTAAAACCAACAGCAATGAATTCAGCGTAATTATCTCCAGCGACGACTTTGTACTGAAAATTGAACATCGTATAGATACAGTAAGACATACAAAAACTTATTATATTTTTAGGTTGATTTTTGGCCATCTTGACCATTTTCAAGAGTTTGAAGCTCGACTGTCAAGTTTCCGCTAACTTTGAAATATTTTAGGATCTTCGAATTTAGATTTTTTTGTGTTTTTAGGAACTTTAAGCTTTTTCAATATAGTGGAATGGTTTGAATCATCAAACTTTTGAAATTCCTAAATTTCCGGAATTCCGAATTTTCGAATTTTTTGGATTTTCGGATATTTTGAATTTTTCCCTTGTTCTTAATTTCGGAACTTTTGAAAATATTCAGGATTTTTAGAATTTTTAGAGATTTTCGAAGATTTTCGAATTTTCGGGTTTTAGGAACTTTCGAACTTTTAAAAATTTGAAGTTTGAATTTTTGGAATTTTCGAGAATTTTTAGGATTTTTGAACTTCTTGAAAATTTTGAAAATTCCAGAATTTTCGGAATTTTAGGATTTTCTGAATTTTCCAAAACCTTTCGATTTTCGGAAAATAGGGCCTACCGGGGGTACAATAAAAATGTCTGCTCTTCTAATACTAAACTAAAATACTTTGCTCTTCTAATAATAAAGCTATCACTTACACCATAATTATCTTTCCAGAGCTCTCTCATCGGTCTTAATTTCAGTCCACAAGAATTTTCAGCAGATGTGAATGCCACACCAACACGTCTACTACTTGTGACATTCGTCCTTCCAAGAGTATCGAATCCCAAAAAATTGTACTGTTTGCCATGATCATTCACAACGTACTGATAAAGAGGTTGTGTGTCTCCACAGTGGGACAGAAAGGTTTCATTAGTGACGAAAATACAAACAGGAATCCAACTTCTGTTTAGATATGGCTCAAGGCGAACGCCGTAATAACCGTTGTAGAACGAAACCTGATTTAAGGGTCTGACGTAGATAGAAGCAATTTCTGGAGATTCAGTACGGATGGAAGATGTAGCAAGAGTTGGGATGTCCGAATTGGGAATATCTCCATAAACAAAATCATCGATGGCATCTTTGCAATCTACACTATATCCCATGATGTTACCAGTAAGAATGTAGCCATCCGAGATGAGAGAAGAATAATCATCTCCAGCCACGATGTAGTACTGAAAGGGTTTATTTTGGGTTTGCTGAGTTTCAAAAAAAATTTAAGATTCATTCACTTTAAAGGTGGGGGGACAGGAGATTTTACGGGGGATTTTTGGGGCCAGAGTATGCATTCTACCGTGACGGTGTACAATGCTTAATGTCACTCTGCGTACAGCTGTCGTCCTCGCCTTTATGTATGCAATCGGGCAGCGGCTTTCTCTTTGCACGCGTAGCTCAGTCGGTAGCGGCGCCACACCCTCAATCCTCGCCCCACACGTTCAACTCCTCGAGGGGCATATTTAAACGAAATTTCGACAACATTATTTTTCTCATGTCCCCCCACCTTTAAAGATTTTTTTTGGAGTTTTACGGTATGCATACTGACTTTTTGGTGTACAGAATCACATCGACCTCATTTCGAGTTTGAAAATTGGGTGAATAGATTTGTCTCATTGAGAGCTTCCAAAGGAGGATAAACACGACTAGGCTCCGCCCATTCCGGTTAGAGACGCAGTGTGTCTCGTTTTTCTGCACTCTAGCTTTTTTGAAACCGTAACTATTTTTGTTTTAGCTCAGTTTCATTGAAAATTGGGTGAATAAATTTTTTTTACGACTAGGCTCCGCCCATTTTGATTTTTCACTTTAAAGGCGCATAAGGGTCGGAATGTTTCAAAAGTTGGTCATGTTTATACTCATTTTGAATCTAGTGACGTGGTAAGTTCAAAAATATAAGTTTCAGTTTTTGGATTTTAGTTTCAAGTGTGTGTTTTTTAATTCAAAATGTTTTTTATAACTTACCCCAACACCTTCCTTGTACAACTCTCTCATTGGCACAAGATTCAATCCACAAACGTTTTCAGCAGTCTCGAATGCTTGTCCAATTTGGCTATGTTTCTCATTACTGCAACTTTGACTATGAATTCCAATAAAATAAAATTTATCTTCTATATCGTAATACAAATTTAGCGGTTTTGTAGATCCACATTTTGAGAGTACTGTAGAATTGGCAACAAAAATACAAGCATTCGTCTCAGCGACTACTGTAGAATTAGATCCATAGGAATAACCTTGTTCTCCTTCGGCAGTTGGTTTTTCAACGATAACAATTGGATGGACATAGAGTCCCTCTTTTTTGGGGGTGGATGTTGAAGTGGATTCTGAAGATGACGTCGGGGAATCAGAAGTCATATGAGAAGAGGTAGGAACAGTTGGTCTTGTAACTTGGACAGTTGTGACTTCATAATTTGGCAAATCTCCCGGCACATAATTATTCTTGGCGTCTTTACAATCTACAGTATACCCAGCTATATTCCCAGTTATGTTGTATCCATTAGCCAGAAGAGATGAGTAATCGTCACCAGCAACTACAGAGTACTGTAACATGATTTACGGTAAATTTTGAACAAGGCTTATATTTCGGTCGGTCGATAATCAGCGACCGCCGACCGAGCTGAACGAACTTCCATTTGCGCGTCAACATGGAAGAGAGTGGAAGAACACGAAGGACTTGTCCGATATGATGAGTATTATTCAGAAGACGTGGATAGTTAGTTTTAGATTCTAAGGGATTATATAGAAGGATTTTCCAGTGTTTGCCTATACGAATGGGAAATATCCAAACCAGTTTGGTGCTTGCCAATTGAGGGATTACGGTAGATTACGGTACAAATTTGTGAGGACAGTGGGATATGCGTTTACAGCAGTGTCGATTCCGGAAAACTTGCCAATTTATTCGTAAGTTAGAATATCGCGAAACCTCTATTAGAAAGATCACTTTAATAGAAGGGCCCTTTTGGTAGAAGGAAGGTACCTAGGAGAAATAGAACGGCTGACCCTTCCAATAATGTTTTACGAAGTTCTGATGTT